AGAGTAGGGTTAATTCATGTGTTTCTCAAAGAGTATCATCACACTCAGAGTTTTAGGAATAAATCAACCATTCTTCACTTCTCAGAAGCTTTTACTGAATTGTCTAGAAACAATGCCAAATTGTCTGGAAAGAGCCATGAGGCCATTTGGGTCTGGTATCACTTTTGAAAGGAAACTTGTGTCAGAATTAAAAATGTAGAAGCTTTTGCAATCTTAGCAAGGAGGAAAAAAAACAAGGATTATTTGTGTGGCAAACAGAACTTAACTTACAGTTTTCTACACTAAGTCCCAGCAGGGACATGAAAATTTTCAAACCACTAGAAATATTACTAAGAATTAGATATCCTGTGACTCTTTCTTTCCTTCATTTCATCACCACAGATTTCTTCTATTAAAACAAGAGCCCTTGGATTTGTATGTCCTAACATTCCTAAAACCTCTCAGGATTTCCCAGCAGGAGGGGAACACCAGGCTGGCCCTGAGCAGGACCTGGCCACACACCAGCAGTTGGGGTGACGACATCTCCTGCCCCTTGACCAATCCTCCCTCTGAAATGCTCCTTTTCTTGTTTCTAAAAGCAAAGATAGCTGAAGAAGAAAAAAGCACTGTGCTTCACCAACTTAGTGCCACTGATGAGCTTTCTGACTGATGCTAAAGACAGCCAAAGCATCTCACAATGATGTCCAGATGTCTGACAGCATTCAGTACTCCATCAGTCCCACAGAGAGTGATGTTACCTTACGTGAGGGACCACACACTCACCAGTCACACCCCTGGCAGACAGACAGGCTCCCTGCAAGGTCCAAATTCAAGCCCCAGGACAGCCCATGGCAGCGCTAATCTCTTAACAAAGCTGACTCTCTAGCAAGGCCCAACAAAAGCTCACAGCAGCTGACCATTACAGCTGAACTGCCAGGCAGAAACAAGCCAAATTAAAACACATATCTCAGTTAATGATGGAGTCACAGAAGAGAAAACAAGGTGTGATGACCTGCATTACACTCTCACAGGCTCCACTGGGACAGCCAAGGTGATAATCAGCCTCACCATGATATTAAGTTCTCATCCAGCCTCTTCACTTATAAAAATAACGCCTGTTGTCAACTCGCAACAAAGTGAAATTAGTGACAAGACAAACAGGGTGAACTCCCAGGTATGAGTTGAGCAAACCTGCCAGAGCACAGCAGCCTCTCCCTCCAGCTGCCACTGGCCACCAGTGGCACCAGAAAACTGTGAGAAAGCCACCAGATCATCAAGGCCAGAAGGCACAGAGTCAGAGAAGGCGTACTGGGAAAAACACGGTGACAACAAAGCTTGGGGTGGGGGACACACATGGGATCTGAGAAACGGCACAAATTGATGCATTTCTCTTGGCCAATTTCTGTGCCGAACTAAATGGATTAAAATACTTTTCCTTGTGTACTGATGATGAGCAAAAGCAATTCTACTCTTCACAGCTAAATATTCCAGCTCCCATTTCCCATGAGTACACTGACAGTCATGGCAAAATGAGCTGTTTAGGTTGCAGGTGGCTCTTGATTATGTCTGAGACACAAAAGGGTGACAGCAGAGGAAAAGGCACAGGGAGACAGGTGAAAGCACAGGATTTGCACAGAAGCAACAAACTTTGTGGGGTTGGACATGCACATTCATCTCAGGGATTTCAAAGTCGCTCGAGGCTTTGAAGTCCCTACCAGCACTCACCAGTAAATGAGACACTGCCAAGAAACATGAATAAAAGAAGAATAATTTGATCAAGGCTTAGATAATCAACTACATGTTTATTACATAAGACACTACATA